TGTGTGATGGAGTTGGGGGGGGGGGGTTGCTTCCTCACAAAGCATATCTCTCAGATGTGATGCAATTGGACAACCAGACACAATTTTTGAAAAGATTGATTGGGATACACACGTCGTATCCCGTTGCCATGGCAACCCCCTGGCGGCCGGGAAGAGATCTTTGGAAACAGATGACTTAATTCCCAACGGAGAAACAAGCCACTCAAGTCTGTCATCCTCTGCCTCTGCTGCGAGGGGGCTTACCATTTTCCATATGGTGTGTGTGTGTGTGTGTGTGTGTGTGTGTGTGTGTGTGTGTGTGTGTATGTAAGGGAGTATGTGTGCACAACAAATTGAAGAGGTCTGTAGTGCTGCTGTGGTTGGTTTACCGTGCTTATTCCAAATAGAACGTCCATGTGAATCCCATGCTAATCCCACTGATGGCTGTGCATGTAGATTTCTGTTGTTTGCCTCCACAAGACGCAGTCTGAAGGTGAGGATGGTGTTTATGCAGCATTTTATTTCCCTCAGAGACGAGAGATGGAAGATGGCTGTGCGTGGGTGGGGTACCTAATGTAAGTTGGGCACAGGGTTCATGGACTGGGTACCACCCACATTCAAAAGCCACAGCCAATATCAATATTTCTTTATTTTTTAGGTCACATTTTCTACAAAGGTCAAATAAAATACGTATTTTTTTCCCTTTAGAATGGTATTCTTCACATTCTAGGACACAAAACTCTCCAATGTGCCTAATGTTTGGATGCATTACTATTTAAAGAATAAATGTATATGGAAATATGTGTAAAAGAACATTTAGAAAGTAAATGTAATAGTAAACGTGAAAAAGGTTTACAGTTTACAGGTTTATGACCAGGGCTAGATTACCAACCAGGCAACTGAAGGCCACAGATTCACTGTTGGTTTATGATTCATTGCAGATGTGTGTGAATATGACTGAACTGAACGGCCTTAAGGCTGGTGTCAAAACCACAGTTAACTCCTTTCCTCTCCTGGATAACTTTTCCTAAATAAACTTGTTAATTAATTGAGGCCCACAACCCAACGTTGCCCCGGGGCTTCATCTGGCCATGACTATTAGTTGTGGTCCAGCGTACTGCCCATGGATAACACATACCAACTAGCATCAGATATTCCACACAAAGCAAATATTACCCCAGAATAGAGACGTATTATTATTGCAGGAAAAGACAGACATTCAGGTGAAGTTAGAGGAGAAAATGTTGATGTTAGTTAATTCCGAATGCAGAGAAAAGTCAAGGCCCCCTGCATACTCTGTCAGCTGGAAGTGCTTTGTGTTTATTCTCCAGCCTGCGGAGCTTCCTCATGAATATTGAAGTTCAAATCAAAGTGTGTTTCTATCTGAATGGCTTTCAGAATGTGTTACAGCGGCAGATTACATTTCTCAATGTGAGAAAAAAAACATTCTTCTATTTTCTACTCCACAACTGTTTTTATATAGATATACTAAAGAAAACAACAAAACATTACCACCAAGAACTATAATTATAATTTAAGCCAACTGGGCAGAGATCTACTGGACAAAATGGACAGAGCTGGGTCCAAAGCTTAAGGACAGAAGATGAAACAAAGTTATAGAAGCCAGACCAATGGAGATGCAAGCCAACAGGCCAAAGGACAGAGCAGAATATGGGTTTGTAGTGCCATCTCAAATAGATCTCTTTTTTTAGGATAATGGGTTATGAGGGGTGGAGGGGGCATACAGAAGTCATTTTAGTGAGAGAGTGATTTAGGTGACAGCTGCAGTGATAAAATGGGCCAGATGGAATGGGTAGAAAGTGTTCGGATATGCTTTTTAGCAGCTGATAATGGAATAGCTGCCAGATAAAGTAATAATCGCTTGTCAGAATGTAATAAAATGTCCTTTAAATGTGTTGAAAGCGGATGGAAGTGTTTAAATCTAATTCTGGCTAATAATTAACACGATCAGCATTGCATTATTGTTTTGCATTCATTTGCATTATTGTTGTCATTTATTTAGATGTATGTAACTTTAAGGAGGTATTTTTTGACAAGCTGTTTCATTATACAGCTGCTTCTTGGTGCATCTTTATAGTACAAAAAAAAAACAAAAAACAGCTGTCATGATGTGAAGCTTAAGAAGAAAACAAGACATCCAAAACTTTTCCATTACTCTGAGCCAAACGAGTTAAATTATACCATTCGGTAAATGTCATGCTTTTGGACTGCCATTAGTTGATTCCTCGCTATTTGTGAACTGTATTAGAATCCCATTGACTTTTACGGGGCATTTCAACAAAGGGCAGCTCCACATGTGGTCCAGGTGTTAAGGGAAGTGCGTGCGAGGCGTCTGAAGTCTTGTTATTGTGGACCCAGCTCCAACACGGTGCTGTTTGTCTGCAGAGGACGGCTGGTTTAGCAGTGCGGCTTCAGAAAGCACTTTCATGGTGGTGCCACAGAGAAATCTCACAAACTTGAAAGAGACAGTGAGAGATTGTTGCTTCGTCTGGAAGTACAGTGTGACATTAGGATAGAAGGTCTGAACGCAATCAGTTCCCATCACCAAGGACACTTTAATTTGAATACTGGCTACAAAGTGTCACCTCAGATATCACGTAGTTTGGAGATAATGAGCTTTAAAAAGGTACATGGGTAGCTACAAGTCATTTTCAGGCTAGTGGTTGACAAAATAGGCTGCTGTGATAAAGTAGAGCAGAAGCAATAGCAGAGGAAATTGCACAAATATGTCCGGTATCGTAGCATCCATCCATTCTCGCTCTTTCTGGCATCCTGACCCCTTCCATCCTCCGCGTGGATGAGTGCTTCCCTGCACCAGGGACCCTGGAGATTGAGGAGATTGGCCCGAGAACCAAGAGCATGAAACCAACAGATAATGAAATATGGCTGGGTTTCTACAAGGACAAGATAAGGCCTTCTTCTCATCTCTGTCTCGACTATCAGCCTCTCAGGATCTAATGCTTTGTGGAGGCAGATCTGTCTATTCATTGCTGTACATACAAACAAACCAGATTGGACACACGATCATCACTTCAAGCTATGATAGAGCACTTTTGATTGGAAACTAAATGTGAGAAGAAACTGACCTAAAACAAAATGTCATCTACTTTAAGCTCCCTAGATAATATGATACCTAGAAGTCGCCTTGGTCATTTCCCTGAATGGCTAACACACACATATTAAGCATTTGGAGGGTGCAATTACATGGAAGGAAGTAAAACACGGCCTAAACTGTACAGTAAACCCTGTAGTGCAATAAAAAAGCACAAATGTATTTAGAAAGAACACAGTGATACGTTAGCACTGCCAAAGGCTTAAGACAAAATAAGCAAATATAGGACTGCACTTGGCAAGACCAATGATGAAATCTGGATGTTTGTATGTTACATTTGGCAGTAAAATCTTGATTCCATCTTGATTACCTTTCAACTGTTCTCTGTGTAACTGTTGGGTGCACTTCCCTGCTATCAAAAGGGGTATATACATGTGTCAAGAAACTTTTTTTTCAGGCCACATTTCAATGTCCACAGGCTGCTGACTGGCTGGTACGTCAAATAGATGAATCTTCATTTGTTGGCCTTTACCTTTTAAAAGTAAAGTTGTTTTACGTCAACTCCCACCCCCCCCCAATCCATCGCAGGCAAAGGTTTGTTTTGCCACTTAGTGGTGGTTAGGAGGGTTGTACCACATCATAAAGTGATATCATCACACACCCTCTACAGGATATGACACTGATCAGGAGCCCAGATGTGCTTCTTGGAAACTGCAAACTTATCAAACATTCAGGGCCATTACCAGGATTTTAACAATACTGAAGTCATTTCTATTTCTATATTTTTATCTACTGAGTTAGTAATTTTTTGTTCTAATTTTTGTTGTATTTAAATGGAGCAAGGACATTCTTTTGGAGATAAAAAAAAACTGCTTACAAACTCACTGAACTGAACTAAAAACTAAAATACCTGTATCAGAACACTGTCTCTATTTCCCCTATAAAGATTAAATATTTATGCAGAATAAAGCTTGTTTCATTCCCCACTATACAAAAGGTATAAATGCTCTTCGAAAGCTATAAATGATTAATTTATTTCTGCTGGACTCAAAGTAGTCATCTTTAAATATTCTGTCATGTAGAATGTAAATCCCACTGCTCCAGGTCACAAAAACACTTTGCATACAACATAACATTCTGTCAGTCCTCTATACAGAATACATATTCCTCATTTAGGGTATTAACCTACACTATGTCTGTTTAAATGATACCACATAACACCAACTAGTGAGGCTTTTTTTCCCTCTATACAACAAGGATGACAACATGGACTGTCACTCATCTCAAAAGGTCAGACATAATCACATGTTCCTGCAAAGCTTTGAACAAAAGAGAACCACTCTTTACAAAGACTTTAACTGATAAACTACGTTCACATGCAGTCAAACCTATAATCCACCAAGTGGTAAAACACAAAGGATTCTGATGGTGTAACTTCAGTCGAGGTGTGATGTTGCTGGTGAGAGAGAAACTAGAGACAGATATGAATTGTCTTCACCCTCTGTGAGAATTCCAAATGACAGACCCTACAATTTTTCATAAAAATGCTAATAGGGATTATGGAGAGAGCCCTCCAGCACTTTCGATCAACTGCAAGAAGCCATTATCTGGAAATTTAGTTGACATTAGTGCTGATATACTTCCTATATAGATGCTTCCCTACCCACTCTATCACTAGGTGAGGGAATTAATGCTCTTTCAATAGTGTAATAGAGGTTCTGTGGGGTGGATAGAGGTTTCATGTCCCAGGATTGTGGCTTTTCATGCAGTCAGGTCGGTGATTGGCATGTTGAATCATCATGAATGTGAGTGTGTGTGTGTGTGTGCGTGTGTGTGTTGAGAGCTAGGCGGAGGAACTGAACCCCCCGCCACCGTCACATTACATTACTGACTCAGTGGCATGGTATCATCACATCAAATTAGTCTTAATGAACACAAGCGAGTCGACTGAGGAGAGAGATAATCAAACTTTTATTAAATGTCTTAATCTTCTGTACATGCATAATGTAATGGGAAGAGAGATGGGTCTGTGATGTCTGTCTGCGAGGGGATGATCTTTAACCCCAAAATACGTGAATGTACGTGGAAGCAGATTTATCTATCGACGGGCTAAAACCTATAGATTAATTGCGACGCTCACTGAGCAGCTCCCCAGTGGAATAAAATGTCTAATACTAAATACAGAAAAGTAAAATGCCACTACCAGCCAAGCCCTGTTCCCTTGAGTAAACAAAAGAGATGCATTTCAAATAGTATGTTCCTTCGGTTCATTTGGTTGTCATACAAAAAAAAATGCACTGTAGCTCACTCCACACATCTTAGATGCCATAAACAGAGCAGCTAAACGTCTATCAAATATTGCAAAGACATAACTTGTAAACGAATTACAGAGAGCAAAATGCTTTTTTAAAAAAGAACCCACATATATACTAGACAAGGGTTGGACCCTGAAACATTTCATCAAGGACAAGTAATACTCAGATGTTAATTTTGAAATGCGCGAAGCATATAATTGGTATAGAGTCTTGCTTGTGAAATCATTTTAATTGGAAATATTATAAAAACAGAATTTTCTGTATTAATGTTTGTGGACGCCCTATTAGGATTCAAATGTATCAAGAAATGATCGGAGTTAGTTAATCTGACACGAATGTTCATTAATAAAGCACCAGGCTTGAACTATTTTTTAAGAATTGACAAAAAAAGAAAAAAAATCTCACACGCATTGCAAGGCATGATGCCTACTTTGGCTGATGGTACTGTAGCAGTAATTATGTTGAATTTGGTCCAAGAGTTCCTCAACAGAAGCTCCATCGTCACACACGTTCACTAATGAAACTGCAATCAGACTCAATTCAAACACTGCAACACTGGAGATCTTTTTTGAAATTTACCTGGGTGGCTGCTGTGTGCGCTGACGTAGAGACTTATTTTAACCTCTAAACAAGATTTTAAAAGATTTTGTGCGCGCTTGTTTTGTGCAGCACATACATTCATTTAACTTTTGCTTTTTAAGACCTTATCAAAAAAAAAAAAATCAAAAACATGAACAATCTAAATGGCCTATATACAATAAATTTACATTAAATATGTATACGATGACAGACAATCCCCATGAGATTGTCAGGACAGGAGAACGTTAGCCCCTAGTTCGCTTGGCTTTCACAACAAACGGGATAAATCCTCCTCGAGGGGGCGTATTTAAGGCTGAGAGGCCGAGGACGACTACTTTACAGTTTCACCTCTAACAGACAGAATCAAACAGAGAAAAGGCCATGCTGCTGGACTTGACCCAGGGTGGGAGTTCAGGAGAAAGGAGAGAAGGGAGACGCGTGAGGGGGGAGAAGGGGAGGCGCTGGGTTGTTCGTTGAGGGTGGTTCTACCTCGTCAGCTGACCCACCACTTTCAGCAGAGTCTTGTTCTCCTGTTTGAGTTGCTCGTTCTCATCTTCAATGTCATCCAGGTCCTGCGGGGGAAAAAAGGGCAAAACAGACAGATTTGGGGTTAGCAACTTTCTGGACAAATTTAGACACATGAATATTCACAACCCTGCCTCTATACCTTTGAGGGCAAAGTCAGGTTGGAGTGTTAGTCTGAGAGTTAAAGTGAGCATTACTCGCTACCAGATTTCCCCCTCCAGCCAGGCTGCCTTGATAGCAACAAATTAGACATTAACAGCTTCAATTAGTTGCAAATGAGAGAGGCTCTCAGTTTCCACAGCGCTGTCTCATCAAAGTGACACTCCTCATTTTCATTTTCTTCCATCACCGGTCATGATCGCATGTCTGCTGAGAATGAGCCGAACTGCACTTAGAGGAATTTAAAAAGTCAAACCGAAGAGGTCACAGGTTTCTGCACCGCATGCTGTCTGTGCTGCTGGAGAAGAGGGATAAAAAGACTAGTTTCAGATCAGACAGGCTGGCTTTTTGAGCGGACGAAGTGGACACTACGATCACTATTTTTATTGTAATGTGAATACAATGTGACAGTGTGAACGGGTTCACTTGTAATAATGAATCTACAGAGAATTATCCCGCCGAATACACGACTTCCCTTTAGCTTAATGGAGATTTGTGGGGAGTTTCAGCTCATTGTTTAGCTGCCCGGCTCGCAGCTTTACTGTTTTGGTTCACTATCGCCGCTCTCACCCACTGTTTTCAGTAAAAAAGCTCAAAAGTTAGAGACTAGCTGGTGAACATAGCAGAGCATTTAGCAGCTAGAGAGCAGGATATTTTTCTCAGGAGTTGGTAGAGACTGAAACAGAGTTAAAAGGAGAGTAAATATTAAACTTATATTCTCCAGGTGCCCAGAAACATGACTACAAATGAATAATAAAGTTGCTCTGGATGTGTAAACAAGCACAATATGTTCACCCTATCATGTCGATGTTGTGTTCACAACTTGTTTCCGCTGCCCAGAAGTGGCCAAAAATGGTCTGACCTTTGAAAAATGCAAAATCTACAACTTGCTTTATCATTATATGGGAGCTCTCATCAGCTCTCATCACACAGATGCAGATACAGGGATCTGAGCTCTCCACAAGACCGGATTTCTCTTCAAAGGATATCAAGAGGGAGATTTAGGTTCAGCAGTTGAGTTTTATCTTTTTTTCTCCCTCAAATAAACTTCTACAGTGACTGAGGGTTCAATCTCTGCAGAGACGGCAGACTGGATCAGCCGTTATCTCCTGCTTTCCCATCAGGCCTTGCGGGAGCCTCTCTCAGGGACATTTCTGATGGCTATCACCGCGTCGACCGTTCTTACATAAAGGCCTTCTCTTATGACCATCTTCCTGTCCATGTGATGTTATCAACTTGATGCCTTCTGCAATATTGCACTCGTAGCGTTTGTATATGGGCGGTGCGTGTGTCATAATAGTGTCAAGATAATAACCAAGCAACACTCATTTGACCAGTTGCTGAAAATGTACACATCGCTAACCACTGTATTTGTTGGCAGAGCTCGAGCTCTTGTTTAGATTTGATTGGCTCCACAGGGGAGAGCTAAGATCTATTTTCTCTGAATATTTGAGACATGAAAGTCTTTCAGATCTATCCCCCCCCCGCTAAGTTCCCCTTCAAAGATGCCAAAATACAGAGATGTATTTTACCACCAGCCTCGTGACCCAGAAAACACGGGCAAAGGCTGCGAGTTGAGGAGGGTTTGTTGACAGTCTGGGGTGAGAGAGGGAGATGAGGGTTCAGAGGCTTCGGGGGAGGTTTCAGTCCGGCTGCTGAATATAAAGAATACTCAGTTTACATGAGTATCGCCTGACCTGTGAACCCAGACCACAGTGTGAGGAGGAAACAGGACCCCTACCTGTGGGTTCACGTCAGTGTTCTCAAGATCTCTCAAACGCAACTCTGACAATAATAATAAAATAAGAAGGCTTGTCATCACTCGTCTAAGCATTTTCACGTCTTAACAGATTTTCCTGAGGGAGCACTTGTAGTTCTCTTCCTCACAGAGACTTTTAAGACGTGCCTCAATTAAGTCTCACCAGGGCCCTCTTCTTAGCATGTAGATAATTTGAGACTGTCTTTAAAAAAAGAATGGCTCAGTCGACATCTGTTTAAGTGACAAAGGCCTCTAGCAAATGTAGTAATTACGAAAACGAGGAATTCAGGTGACGAAGAGCGGAAAAAGTCCACACAGGGAGGAAGTCAGAGTGGATCGATGACATGGGTGACATCAAACATCATACATTTAACGTGCAATGTTTAATTTAGGAGGTCTCATATTAAAACAATAACAAAAGATGAAGTTTGATGACATTGTGAAGTAGCATGGGATCATGGTAGTTGTCTTCACCACTATTGCGGTCACTACAGTCAGCTTCTCTCGGGTTTGGATTCCTTTAGTTCAGGAGGTTGCTACTTGGTGTTGAATTATCCGCAGAGGTCTCCTCCTCTCCAAAACAAATTGAAGGTTTGGTGAATGAAACCCATAAAAACAATGAATAAAGCAGTTTCTCTGATGCTGTTTGGCAGACAAAGGACAGCCTAGAGGTCCAGCAGCTAACGTCCGCTTGTTTCTCTGACGACCCCAGATGTCTGATGACTGAAATCCTTCATTCAGGTAAAATACAGAGTTAAAAAAAACAACCACGATCTAAAAAGTGTATTGTAAAAATGTACCTTCAAATTTGGTAAAAATCAATTTATGGTAGCTTCTGTCAGACAACCATAAAGCATGAACAAAAGGGATATGACGCCATAGACAGGCGTTTGAACATTGTTAGAAATGTTTGAGATCACGTAAATACGAAACTTTAGTGGGAGACCACTGTTTGCTTCACCAGTCCAACCGCAAGTCAGCATTCCTTAACAATCCTATGCTTATAAACCTATGCAACTATGGAAGCCTGGGAACAGTGGAAACATTGGAGTATGAGCTTTTGAATATAGTGAAACTTGGTCTAATTGTGGATTAATTCAATAATAAAGATCTGTAATCAACAAACTCAATCGTGCAGTGTGCGGTGAACATGTAAGACTTTTTCATTCATTTCCAGCTGTGAAATAAAGCCATTCCTTTGAAATGGTTGCTGATTATAATCTTTTTCTTACACCAGAAGTAGATTGAAAATATCAGACTGATTGGCTGAAGATGGCGAGGTTGTAATTTGGTGATCATTTAGTTTGGCCTCTGGCTCTACTTCACTGAATTGCACAGTAAGTATGACGTTAAAATTCCCTTTGAAAGTTTTAACTTTTAGTTTAGTTTTTGAACTTTGTATGCTGGACTTAGACAGATTGTACAGAGTCTACCATACAACAAAATGCTTGAGTGTAAGTCAAAAGAAAGTGGAGTGGGAGATCTCACCTCACTGAAGTACACTGACATAGAAAAAGAGAATGGACTGGGTGATCTTGTATTTGTGGTGTTTTCATCTGTCACAGCACAATTTCTGATTTATTGATCTCTCTCTTTTTGCTTTATTCAACAAAACTACCTGTCCAAACTCTCTGAGATGGACTGCAACAGTGTTTGCCCAATACGACTGAAAGTACCCTCAAATTTAAACTGCCAAAAAGCGAAAGAAAGTCTTTATTAATCTGCTTGAGACATACAATCACGCCTGAAATTCTTATCCACCAGGCAGTAAATTCGTTTTTGGTGGATAAATCAATAACATTAATGTCACCTACCACACTGACCAGTTACTTCAAACTACTGGTGAGTTTTTGTACAGCGTTTAAAATGCAGACTGCACTTACAATGCCTGAGCAATATGTGTAAATCTGAAAATAAAGGTTTGTTGGTGTCCAAATGCTAATGGACTGCAAGAACATCATTGTAGAAAAACACACAGCTATTATACACAACTCCACCAAAATGCCAGATGATGATTTACACCTACACGAGCCACCCACACATGAGAACACAAAGGAGCGCTCAAAATATCAGACATCAGAGCAGAAAATTACATGGGCTGGACTCACTCTGTTCAGCAAGTCAATTTCCTCCTTCAGCTTCCCGATGAGGTCGTCTTTGTCCTGGTGGGCCTTCAACAACCTGACGTTCTCTTGACGCTCTCTGGCCAGCTCCTGAAAACACACAATTTAGCAACATAATTACATGAATGATAGATACTTTGAACAGATGAAAACAGTGCATAAGATTTGGTTAATACACGCTGCTATGGGACTAAAAAACTATCTTTAATTACTTTATGAGAAATTGGAATTGTCAGATCCAAAACAGCATTTCAGGAGCATTGCTGTCTGAAAGGAAAAACTCAAAATTAACTTTTAATGAGGTTAAATGTATTTGGGGTTGGGCTTGGGATGGCCGTTCCCTCAGTAAAGGAGTTCAAGTATCTCAGGTCTTGTCCTCTGCAGTAAGGTGGGCATTGTATCAGGTGATGTGGCGAAGAGGAAGTGGAGCCTGAAGTCGAAGCTCTCAGTTTACCTGTTGATCTTTTTTCTAGCCCTCACTTATGATCGTAAGCTCTGAGTAGCAATTGAAAGGATGAGATCGCAGATAAAAAGCCTTTTTCATCGCAGTTGGGCTTAACCCGTAGAAAAATATACAGATGATTGGCTGAGTCCATTTTCTACCATTTGATTTTTACCATTTTATTTTGCCTCCGACCATTTAATGGTCTGCCTCTGAAGAACTAGAGCGGCTGCTCAGCGACACAGTACACGCTGAGTGGAAGAGCTTGTGAGAGGAAAAACAGCTGCAGAGCCAGAATATTTTCACATCTAACTCAGTGAATTTAGTGTTTATTTAGATCAGTTTAATGACAGTGGATACAGTAACAAGGTGATTTGCATCAACTCAGACATTTTTTTCCTGTTGAGTTTAAATAAAGTTACTTAAAAGTTAACGCTATTATGAATCATAAATGGGGATGAGGGTGCACACTTTTGGACAGTCTCTCATTTACACTCTGCTGTACACATAAAAAGTGACTGAAGTAGGTGTGTGAAGAATGAAAAAGAATTAGAAGAAGGTTTTGCAAAGCTACAATCGGCAGATCCTAATTCCAAAGTCGGAAAGGAGTGTCAAGTAAATATTATCTCTGTCATATTAAGAGGACCCAGTTGAGGTGGCTGGGCCATCTGATTAGGATTCCTTTTGAATGCCTAATTATGGAGGTACAGCCAACCAGGAAGAATAAAAGATTATACAGGAGGATTATACACTATATCCCATTAGGCCTGGGAAAGCCTTCCCCAGGAGGAGCTACAGGAAGTAACTACATCGACTGTGCTACTTTGCTCAACCTGCTACCACCAGGAACTGGACCCAGAGGACCAGCAGAAATAGATATCAGATTGATGTGTCGCAAATGGTTGAATGTCTGCAAAACATATGCAACAATACAGCTGTTGGTCTTCAGGTGAATTCTATTTGAATCTATCTGTACTACTGGCCAGCATTAGAAAGCCTTGGGTGTTGCCAAACCTAACTGCAAACAGCTGTATTCAACATTTGAGAACATTTAGGCCTGTTTTAGTTATCTGTTTCCAAGTTAAGCTACAGCTTACATGAGACTACGTTATTGAAAGCACATTTTACTTCCAAAAAACATCTGGTTTTAAAAGTTGTTAGTTAATAAACAGGTCTTACTTTTTGTGAGATGACAGATGAATCAAATATATAATCTTCAACAAATTCTTCAAAATATGCAGTCTGTAATAATCGACACAACAGACTGTCAGTCAACAATGCATTAATGGTTCCTTTTTAATTCATAGTGCTTTTGTGTTTCTTTCAAATTGTCCTTGATTTAAAGCCAGTGTGTTCCTGTCCGCCTCCTCCAACAACCACAGGGAAATAAATGAAGTGTTCTTTATTGAGAGAGACTGTACTCTAATAACAAAAATGTTTTAACATGCACAAATGTTAACACATGTCTGTGTTTATGATGGAAATGAAGATCAGACGACAATTTCCACTTTCCAGTTTCTTTCTGCTGCAGATAAGCATGAATTGTTTCCATAGAAACCAATTGGGCAGGTACAGTAGAAGGCGCAGAGTAATGTAGCCGACATTAATATGCTCACCAATGAAACTCTATTCATCCTTGTTTTTAAAGGTACAATAGATAACTGCAGCCTTGAAGTCTTATAGAATCTCATCTCAAAGAAACCTGAACAAACATCTCTTTCACTGCTTTCACACCAATACAGTAATGCAGGCTAAATGTACATTAGGTTTTGCTCTGAATGGGTCAACATGCGTACACACGCGCACGGTAAGTCACTGAGGTCGCAGCAGTACTTACTTTAAAAACCTTTCTTTGAAAGCCACCTAAGTGACATTTGATTCCGAGTTGACTTTTTACAGTGGCAGCAGTGAGGGGTTGAGTGTCTGATAGGAACGGTGTAGGAGGAAAAGACATATCTGCACTGTAAAAGGTCATCTCTTCAACAACACCGAGGAGAATTTCTGCCAGTGCTGAGCCGCAGTTTCCAGCCAAAAAATCAGAACTCGGGCAGCCGCTCAAAAGGACTCAAAGTGGAAATTCATCTAAACAAAGTGCCGCTGATAGGGGCTTTCTGGCGGCCAAAAGACTTTTGGATGGACCCTTAAAAACTCAGAAAGAATTGAAAAGTTGATAGGATTTGGTAGTGATAGCAGATGTCCATCATAAAGCCGACGTTTCCTCTGTGATTTCACATTTCCATGGTGTTTGGGGTCAATTTTGCTATGGCTACACCCAGGGAAGTAGAGGAAGGAAAACCTACTGAAACTCAGCCTAAGATGGGTTAATGTCACGGAATAGCACTTTAGAAGAAGAAATTATGTATGTTTTGGGTTAAGTCAGGGCAGTACACTGTGGTCATGTCCTCAGTATTGTTTTTTAAGTATTAGGGGGTTTTACAGACATGAGGAGGAGTTTCCATTCAATAATTACACACAAATTCAACAATGAGGTTTTTAAAGTTGATTCTGACCTTTTGCAAACCTATTTCTTGAAAATTTGATAGGTATCTTTTTGTATTAAATGTGTTGAAATATTTATTATTATTAAAATAAGAAGTACATAAAAAAGAAAATCAGTTATATTTCTGGCAGCGTGTAGACTTATAGACTTAAGTGTCAGAAAAAAAAGTTCACAGAAAATATTATTGAATATATAAAATGTTGGGAGAACTTATAACCAATTTATTTTTGATTGTTTTTTAAAACTTTTTCAAGGTGTGATGTCTTCATGTCTTTCCCCACCGGCTCAACAAATAACTATTTGCTCATTTGCCACCTAGTTGAAACTATGGATAGGAGTTTAATCTAAAAAAACAAACAATGAAAAAGAAGTGAGAGCAGAGAGGATGAGTGACAAATAACAACTGAAAAGAATCTAAAAGTTAACATTGTTTGGTTTTTATTCCACTGTGTTTACATGTCTGATTTAAAAAAGCAGCAGGAAGAGTAACTCCATTGGCAAGAGTGATAGAACTGGCAAGATGTTTCATTACATATCAAGGCTGTTTGATACAGAGAGACTTTCAAGTCTCACTCCATAAGTAGTTGCACTCTCAAGAACAACAGGCGCTGACCTTCTCACAGCGGGGAGGCGATAAAACCTGCCAACATGTGTATTCTGACTCATCTGGACCCTGATAGGAAACAGCCCAGTCTCAGGGCAGATGTCCACATTTACTCACCTTTCCATGAGCCAAAACAAATGTAACTAACATATCTATGTTTGGCCTGATACTAACCTTTAGGAAATAAATTCATAGTAGACCAACTCATCCAAGTTATATATTGATAGGTGAACCATTAGAGTGAGTTTGACATTTTGGGAAATAAATGTATTTACTATCTCGCCAGGAGCTGGATGAGAAGATCAATACTATTCTCCTGTCTGTGCAGTAACTATGGAGGCATAAGCCAGCAGGTGATTAGTGTAACTTAGCATGAAGGCTCATTATGTATTTGTCTGTGCAGCCACAACTTCTTGTTTTTCCATTTCCATTTATTTAGGTGTTAAAAAATGAGAGGTACCAGTAGGCATATCTTTTAATTTTGGATTGGTGGAGTATTATTTAGTACTAGTAGTGACTGTGACCAAGCAGTAATGTGAATGACAGGGTCAGAAAATGTACCTTCTCCAGCTCCTCCATCCTTTTCTCCAAACTTCCTGGAGCTGCAGCTCCTCCATCTCTGCTGTGACGGTTGTGCCGTTGTCTGCTGTTCCCTCCACCCACCTCTTCTTCAGATCCTGGCCCTGCAGAGCTTTTTAAAGAAAACACACAAAAACATAACTAAAATACAACTTGAACACTTTTTACAGCAAACTAGTCACATCAAAAAGAAGTCTGCAAAAACCTTGAATTTTGTGGCAATTGCCACTATTCAAAGTGTCCAACACTGTATTCACACTGAGGCTGTTTGAAGGTATGAATCATACCCACATTATTAAACTTCAATGGGATGACACATCCATCATCAAAAGAACAGGTGGGAATATCTTCTGCATGTTTGCCCTTTCAATTAGACATGCATTATTAACACCCCTCTGCCTTTTATTCCATTAATGGAGAAAAGGCCGTCAAGGGTTTGCAACTTTGGTGCAAAAAGGATTCTGATTAAGAAACAATTTACATATTACAACTTCAAATAGGCTAAAGAATGGCAGTGGCAAACTTGTGCGTCACTGTTCATAAGCTGGTGAGAAAAAAATGGTTTTAAAGGTTTTTGTATGCAGCTCGAGCAGAACATTAACCTTATCTCCTCTTCACTTCCACGCTGCTTAGAGACGGATTGTGGGGCAGCGGGGAAAGAATATTCATGTGCAGTTTATTTTCTTACTGACCTTATTTCAATAATTATTGACGTGGAAACTTGGAATGAGTTGCTGGCTCTGTACCGCCCCCCGACTACAACAACTCCCACTCCCTGGTAGGAACAGATTGTGCCAGGTTCATAAAATCTCCCTGGGAATCAAATTATTGGGGAGTCTGTAGGCTTCAGTGAATTGTCTGAAGGGGTCCGTCTGCATATTTCTACAGCTGAAACAGACAGGATAGCTGCTGGCAAGACAAAGGACAAATATAACTCCTTTGTACCATCTGCACTCCTTTCAGGATCTGCCAAAAATGATGTTCCCATTATTAGACTATTTTACAAAGTACTTTTAACTCTGAGATTGGAGAGGCAGTAGTGGGCAATATGATTAGAAACTGTCACAACATCATTTCTTTCTTCGCTTTTACTGGAAAGATGACAGTGGTAAGAAGGGGTATGACATGCAACAGGAGTCTCCATACAGAACTGAATCGGTAAGGGTTGTGGTTATACGATATTTGTCCTAAAGACTAGTCTACCAAGATGCTCTGATTCTGGAAATTCCACTGTCAAACCATTAATAGGTTAACAGGAATCTCTAATCCATCTTTCTTGGCTAATTTACTGACTTTAATACCTGGGAAGTCAAGATACTTTATCACATTTATGTAAATCCTGTAAATTCCCCTTTTTTAGACTAAACCTTGACAACCTATTCTAACACTTAAGGATGTCTCTTTTCTCATTTTCTTAAAGGCCATGGAAGCTTCTTACTATGACTGATGGGGTCCTAAATGAAAACACTATCTTCTGCCAAAGTTAGAACAGTTTTGGTCATTTTCAGTTTAGCAACATTTGCATCGGAATATGAGGACAGTTGGTGGGTTTCTTGGTCAGCGTCAATCAAACTCGATCACACACTCTTGCAAAAAAATTTACTAAATAGGTTTTTCAACATTGAATGTTGATTATTTGGTGATAATTTAATGTTACAGAGAAATAATTATGCTGCATAAATGTATTACAGCTTCATGATGTATCCAATGTTATGTCAGAGAGAGGAAAATTGTTTAAGATCTTGGCAGAATGTGGGAAATATGTGAAGACAGCAAAGGGTAGTTTTCAAAATATATTACCAACTCTACAGAATAAAACTGATAATAATCCTTAGTTACTAAATCCTTAGTTGTATATAGTTAAATCTGAGTTAAACCTATGGAGTCCTGGGTTGGAGCAGTCCCTTTGATTTATGTTTATTAGGGGACATTCAATATAACATAATGTGTATTTTCATATCCGCCAGCATGACTTTATGCAGGATAAAGAATACAAATTCTACTTCTTTTCCATTCTTCTTTTCTCTACCAAGGCTACCGTGCTATTTCTTATACACAAGCAGCAGGCTGTATTTTTCTGTACCTTGACATTTACAGAACCAACAGCTTATTTTCGCTCATTCTTACAAAGAACGGCCATCGCTTTTGATCAAGAGGGAGTCCTTGAAACGCTCTCCTTGGCACTCGCCTACGCCAAGATAAAGTGCATTTCATTTGTCTCTCTCGCTGACTCTCTTTATCGGCAAGAGCACACACACATGCAAAAAAGCGTATACGTTTCAAAGCGTGACAACGAATGCATCCCCTCACCGTGATTCCCTAAAAAGAGCCAAACACAAAACAATGACATGCCTTGTGTGTCTACATCCATGTGTGCCATCTTGTTGTGAGAGATATCTCCCTGGTTGCACCCACACACACAAAAACAACACACACGGGTACTCTAGGGTGCTCAGCGGGTGTTGAAGCCAAGCCTAAACATCCATGGCCTCGATACTAAATATCACACCGTGGCCCATTAGCACCCTGCAGGGTGAGGTCTGGGGGAGAGAGAGGCTGAGCCAATCACACACTCTTGGGAGCCTCAGCAGGTGGGAAGGAAAAAGCACAGAGAGGAGAGCATAACAGCAGCAGCCACAGGTATAACAACGTCTCTCACAAACCCAAGTGTCAATGTGGAATAAGTTAAAACCACACTGGAAACCACAACACACAGTACTCAACCATATGATTAACACCCCGCTTCGCTTCGATACAATTCCCCCAAATATCAAGAAAACATCAAGACCAAGTCCATTCAGAGTCGTTTTAAAGATATGATCAGTAAGTCTCCCTGTCCCTTTGCACAAAACACCATAATTTATGGGTGGAGGCTTGCAAGTGTAGCTGATCAATGTCAATCCTGTTTTATCTCAATGGCAGCTGAGATTTCAAGCTTTCTAAATAGGCCTGGGTGTGTGTTGGTTTGGAATGCTCCAATCTAGGACTGAAATGATTCCTCGAGAAACTCAAGTAACTCAATTACTAAAAATCAATGATGCAAATTCTTTGCACTGAAGCTTTGTTTGATATAATAAAACTATATAAAGCACACAGTGTTTTGCACATGTGATTATTACTGTAACACAATGTGTTGTATAAGTGACTTGAAGAAAACCTGATCGGATGGTGCAAAATGGAGAAAGAGAGAACATAGCGAGAGGCGAAGAGATGAGGCAGGCCAGAGAAAACGATAAAAAGTGTCATAATTTCAAGCTGAAATAAACAATAACTCTGTACAGTGTGTCTATTGTAAAACTAAGATGCAGCCCTACTCCAATCTTCCAGGTTCCCTTAACTTTACAAGAGGAGCTACAGTACGCATGCATTTGTTTCATTTATACATTTGTGATACTAATAAAGTGGTGGGATTTGAGCTAATAAGCCACATTATTTATTTAGTTAAGTTCTTTCAGACATGTTCAACTGCCCAAAAGCCAGACAATATTTGAATGGAATGCATCTTTATCATGAGTTTTTAAAAAACAATCACATAAGAGTTTTTGTGGAGAGCAGGGACAAAATGTGCAAAGGAATGGATTGGATCCAGCAAAAAGATGAAGTGACTGAGACAGGTGAGTGTTGACAAAAATTCAGTGAATTAGAGAGATACACAAATCTATAAAGTTGCTTTATCAGCCATCTTGTGCTGTCCAGCCCACCTGGCGGGTTATCCGTTGCAGAACTGCGGAGCATCCAAGTGTAGCCAGGCCAGCTGATGAGAGCAGTGGCCATAATTACATGGCCAGATTGAATGTCAGCTGGTGAACTTGGCTGTTGGGGTTGGCCACAACTTCACAGTTTGGTTGCAAATAACGCAAAATAAATACACACAGAGGTTCCCTCAGGACTTCGACACTTGTAATGCTAATGATTGTGTGTTACGGGCCGCATTGTGAGTTGAAGTTGGACAATTTTTTCCTCAAGAGTTTTGGTCCCTCAGCAATTCAGAGATATACAATGAAAAACATTCAATTAATATTCTAGTGTAATGGAGGCAAGTGAAAGAACATTTATTTTGACCACACTTGTTTGCTGTCTGCCAAAAGTTCTACAGTGAAAAATAAAATAAAATCTACCCAGAAGGAGGCGTTTGTCCAAACATCAATCTTGTTTGAAAACCCCTTATCAAATGCCGAAGCAATCTCGACCGAAGTGAGCCACGCATTTTAGACTCCAAACCTTTAAAAGAAAATGATTTACTTTCAACACTCCCTGTCAGCAATGGCAGTGAAGTGATGGTCTGAACAAAGTGTCCAAGGTCCAGATGGTGTCCTGTCAACTACTGTTCAAAACAGTCATCAACAGTCACTTTCTTTAGCCATAAGGGCATGAAAAGAGCAGCATTGAGGGGGGAAAAAATCAACAGTGACGCACCAGAAAAAGGCCCTCAGACCATTTCAGAGGGGAACTGCTCTCGTAATTAATGACTCAAACTGCTGTTTCTCATCCCGGCCTCTGTTCCTTCTCTTGACACACTACTAGTGATGCTGAAGCAGATAAACTCTCAGTGTCAGGATAATAAAATGAGTCTCACCTCTTGTGGCGGCCGCTCCCAGATCTGGGGGTTTCCTGAAACAAAAAAAGGAAAGAAATACCTTCAGTCCAAAAATCGTTTTTTCTTTTTTTTAAGAACAGTCTACTACTTCAAGTAGTACTGTAATTTCAGAAAAGAAAGACATATCAGAATATGTGTTTAGGTATCATCTATTGTTTGTCTGCCTTGGGTCGTGTGAAAAAAACATAAAATCCCATCTACAGAAAAAGAGAAATTTATCAGGAGCAGCATTTATAGAAAGCCTTTAGGTTGTCTTTGAACGTTTGTGAAGCTGCTGAGCTGATATATAGATGAGCTTTGTTGCATTTAATAGTTTAGCACGAGCCCTATAGCCCCAAGTTGTGGAAGGCAATCTTGTTTTGCAACACGGAGGTGCATGTTTATCTTCTTTTCCCATTATTGTATGATCTAAAGGTTGTTTAGATCTATACAGCAGTGACGCTCCAAAAAAATCGCCTTCGGGTAAAATAGCGCTTCCCTAAAAAAAAAAAAAAACGCTGTGAGATGAATACGCTCCTAAGGTCTTGTGCAGTGAAGGGTCCCCAGGTTTGATTGAGGGGCCTTAGTTCTGCTACAATCTATCAGTCAGATCTCGGCTTTAGCGGGTGAAGGGAGACACTGCGCCCGACTCTTAGCATGCGCCAGCCTCTCTCTGTCTCAGTGACATATCATCCATTACCTGTGGACAAAATCCCGGCCTTCATCTCTTCCCTGGCTCAGTCCACGACAGATTTACTAAGATGGAGGACAGTAAGAGGGTAGTGTGCAGCAGCAGCAGCAGCAGGTCATACACTAAATAATATCTCATCTGCGCATGAGCCCAGGTTCAAGCAACACCTGGGTTTAAGAGCAATTTGATAAACTTTGGTTTAGAAACAGACATTTTCGAGGATTTGGTGTAATCCCGCAGCTGCTATATCTGCACTTGAAAAGGCAATTCTAGTCTTATCTTATCTATCTTAGTCTTATCAGGAATTTAGTCAAAGGCAGACAGATGGTGCTACGCTACAAGTGCACTGTACTCTGCAAGTTCAGTACAGAGTAGGACTAACCATGGAGTTGTTTTGACTGTGCATACTGGAGAAAGAATAGACAGTATATCTTTAGGGTTGCAACTTAAAATATTCATTGCTGAGTAATAGGCCTGCAACTAAGGATTATTTTCATTATCAATTTATCCTTTTTTCATTATAAATTGATTGGTTGTTTGGTCCATAAAATTTCAGAAAATAGTTAAAAATATTGATCACTGTTTCCTAAAGCCCAAGGTGACATATTCAAATGTCTTGTTATTTCCACGATATTCAGAGAAGACGAAGGAAACCAAAAAGTATTCACTCTTGAAAAGCTAAAATCAGAGAATTTGGACATTTTCTTTTCTTAAACAAAATACTATAAAAACAATGAATCGATTATCAAAATAGTTGGTGAATCATTTAATAATTGACAATCAATTGATTGTGCTTTATTGAGTAATATGTCAGTTAAAATGATGAAAATGTCCATCACAATTCACCAGGGTTCTGCTTTGAGAAGTTGCAATCATGATTACACATTTATAAAAAGACTTCTGATGACTGACTAGCAGTTTCAGTACTAAAAAGATAAAAAGTAAAAAGATAAGGGGGTACCAAATCAGTAAGGCAAGACAGAAAAAAGAGACAAAGTGTGAGGCCTCATAACATTTTTAGTTGAGATATAGTTTTTATAGCAGTTGTAAACCCAGGTTCACTCTAACATAGCCTCCAGTCAATACAAATCACACTGTAGAAAGAAAAAAAATGCTGTCTAAATGTAAATGTGTGTTTTCTCTTTCGCTTGCACAGTCTAGTCTAACTTGAATAAACCAACAAGATTCTTTGAATATACAATGACCTGAAAACCCAGTCTGCTGGTTTCCAACAGGAAACCTGACTATGTAGGAAACAATTGTTTGCTTTTACATTTCCCCCAAAATCTTAATACGCCTATTTTGTGAGATCCAGCATGAACAAGTTCCATATTCGAAGTCCGGTGGCGTGCTGACAAGGGTCAGTGGACTGGATTGATTATTTTCTGAGGTGAAAAAGGGTTGAAATATGAGTCAAAACAACAATATGAGGGAAGGTCACAGCGGTCAGCAGACATCGTGAGGCTATGCCAATCCTCATTTGCACATTGTGATATGTGCAGTCAAAACAAAAGAGCAAGACTGATTCTTATATGATACCGAGTACGGACCGCAAAACTAACGCAGGGGGAGTTTTGCTCCTGCATCCACGACTAACAGCAAAACTTTTTGGACTGGAAACAAACAAAATCCTGAATTTGTGCAACCACAAGAAGTGACGAATCAAAACTTCAAAAAGTGTGAAATTCCAAATCGCCAAAAGTAATAACACACTGACCACATTAGTTATCAACACGTCTCACCATTGTTATAGAAAAGAGAGGCAACTAATCAAAAGATTGTCTGTTTGAAACAGCACTATATATGTATCTACTTTTTCTGATTTTGGATGTGGACTGCAGAATATCTTTAATAGATTAAAAGGAATAATTACTGACCCTAATTGGGTTTTTAATCCCCCCTTCCCCAATAGACTCTCTTCAGCGTTATGTGACTGTGACTTAGCTCAGACACACTGTGCTATAAATAAAAACACTGTTTATAATCACTTGCACTTTGTCAGAATCTCCTGCGAATTCATTATCTTGCACCATAGTCCGAGTAATGCAGACAGTCTCAGCTAGTTACACTGAGACAACAGGTCCACCCCACTGCAAATGCATAAATGGAAAATGCCATTACCCTCACTAATCTTTACCAAGGCTCCATCCAGGTCTACACTGAAAAAAACAATCAAATCTCTTCCTCCTCCTCCTCCTCCTCCTCCTCCTCCCACACTGGGGTATGTGATACACAATTTACAATATCATTACATAAATTGACAAGGACATTTTATATCATGTTAAACGTCCAGTGTGTAGGGTTAAGTGGCATCCAGCGGTGTAGTTGCAGATTGCAACTCACTCATTTCACCCTCCCTTTCTTTCTGGCTGCGAAGGGTGCGAAAAAACGCACACAGACCTATCTAGAGCCAGTGTTTGTTTGTGCAGCTCTGTAGATAAAAAATGGCCTTATTCTAAGGTAACAAAAACACAACAATTGTTATTTTCAGGTAATAATACATACCTAGGAATATTGTATTCCATTGCTGCCAATAGATGTTACACAGTGGACCGTTAAGTATTAGATAACTAGTGAAAAAGACAAAGTAATACTAATAAACTGTGCAGTATCAAACAGGTTTTAATTACATACAATAGTTTGCAGGCTATCATTCCTCGTATCACTAAAGGGACTATGAGGATAAACTGATCATCCACATCCCTCTGTGGCTGATTTGCAGCCGAAAATCTGAAAGTGAAATCATATCGTGTTTACAGAAAACATCCCGGACTTCATTTGCCACATTACCACGGCATCTTTTGGCTGTGTTCCACGGTGTGCAACCTCCTGTCTGGGATATGAATCTGTGAGACAAGGTCAGCATAATTCATGTTCGACTTCTTCACTGCACACAATACTAGTCTGTGCAACTTTATTTATCATGCTTGTGCTGACAGCTCCCATAAGCCCCGCTGCAGAGCTCAGAGCTACTAAGAATACATAGAGACAAATATCAACAATAAAACAAGTACTTTATCACTGAACTCTAGCAGATTACTACTTGATGCACATTTGTGTGCGTGTGTGTGCATGTGTGTGTGTGTGTACCTGTAAGGAACACTTCATGCCCGTTTGAATGTGTGATAAAAACACACTCAAATGCATTGCTCGGACATTTACAGCTCGATTTGATCTATGAATTATGTCTTGACAGCTCCTTAAATTTAGAAATCTCTAAAGCAATGCCATCTTATTCCATGAAAAGGTGATCTTTGGCTTTCTGGTCAGCCGCCTAACAGCACAGCGCTCAGAGCATTTCTCTGTACAAAGCTGATAAAGATCACAATTTTACTGGAGGCATTCAATAAATTCAAGAGAGAGTGAGATGATAATCAAATAACTGTCTATGATTGGCATTTAGAAGAAGCAGACAAGCCAAATGCATAAACCAGCAGAAGTAGGGAAAGCTCACTGCCATGTACTATATATATATATATTTCATACCAATATATATACATTGGTATGAAAGCATTTAAAATGTTTTCCCAATTGCTTTTTGCTGCAATTTATTTATGATATCTATATGTTGATCATACTGATTATGGGCTAACACTGCATCTGTTGTATCTTACTGCTCTGTTATTATAGTAGAGATGCTTTGCAGTTCTCTCACACATACTTTTAATTAATATGCCAGCCTCACCTAGCCTTTATGAGTCTTTGATGCAGGCTGAAGAAATAGATGTCAAAATGCCAACCTGGAACATAAATCAAAGGCTGAGGATGAAAACAGGACTAACCTGCAAACTACACAGTAAACAGCAGCAGAAAGTCGTGTTAACCTCTTGCCATTTTTGTGACCTGTACACCTATAGCATGTGTGTTAATCAAAAGTATTTCCCTTCTAGTTCTCTAAGGTTCTTAAATAAACCTTTCTTGCACCTATGCACGAGGAAAAGTTCAGGCTGTTTAATCTGCAACTGCACCTTCTTTTTTATGTTTAGGTTTTAAATGATATCTGAATAACACTCTGCTGTACTGCTGTTAAAGTTTAGTTGAGTTTCTCACCAACTGGGTAAGGTATTTTTGCTGGTAGCAGTCCCGTCAAAGATAAATATTGGTGTGGTTTAGTTGGCTTATATAACAGTAATCCTTAAAATCTTGAATCAACAAAGGTGTGAATGTGATCAAATATTGTTTCAGGCAACAAGATAAAATTCAGTTTGCTGCTAGCACAGGGGCTGCTGCTCCTGGTTAGAAAATGCCATGTGATGGGTAGCGAACATTTCCCTGCTGTTTAGACAAGATGCTCTGCATCAGCACCATTTCTTGGGACTGAAAGGTGCTAATTAAAAATGCAAATGAAGCTTGTTAAAAAAGTGCTGGATGGGGATTGTCAGCAGTATGTGTTTTCCATGTGAGAGAAAGGTAGAAAAAGACCTTAATTGCTCTTTTGTAAACCTGGCGCCACATTAAATACAGATGATCCAGAGGAATGTTCCATATGGTTCTGGCTGCTGGATCACTGGAACAGGTTTTCTTGTAGGACTTGCATACCAGAGGGAGGTAAGGCCTGATAACAAGGACCACATGCCTGCAGAGGGCCTCTCTGACCGCCCATCACTGAGCCTGCACATATCAGACACATGTGTCCTGTCACATGGAGAAGAGATGTGTGTGTCCATGCACAAATACACACACACACATCACCTCTATAAGCAAATTAAAATGGAAAACGGGGCTACGGAAAGAGATGGAAAAAGGACATTGATACAGAATTTGAAACATATGATCAAATTTTTCATATCCAAAACCCTTCGTGGAGTTTCCATTATGTCTTCAGCAGCTAAACAGAGAAGAGTTACGGCTTGTTTTGGTTGGGAAATGCTCTTAAAACCTGTGGACACTGTTAACAGCCCTACAACTGAACATAAGTTGAAGTTGAGTTTCTTTTTAAAAAACTTTTTGTCCAGATATCTTGATGCCAGCTAAGAGGTCCAACTGGATGCTGTACATCATAACCGGCCTGACACGGCAATTGCTTGTCTCCCCTTGAAAAATGGGGCCCGAGAGGAACGGCACATTTTTGGGATGCTCAGTCTTTACAGATGTCTAACTGACAGCCTGGTAGTAAATCCACTGACCACACTGGATCTCTCCTGCTCTTTATTTCTCCCAGTCTGACTCCTTATGAGCAAGCTGGCACGGGACCCCCAGCAGGTTATGAATATATCAGTTTTATATGAGTGACAGTGAGACATCTAATGGTTAGTTTCTGCATAGCCACATCTGGTCTGTGTTATGCCTCACATTGCGATGGTAAGACTAGATTCAATGGACGGATTGCGGGGAAGCTGCAGAAAATAGATTCTACTGAAGTGCTTGATGTTTGTTTATGCATAGACTACATTATGTAAAACCTTTTCCTTTTTTTTTTTGTTTTTCCGTGCAACATCTCAGCAGGTGCTGTCACAATCTTCCTGTTAGTATGGTGTCTGTGTACATATTTCATAGACAAGCCCTAGCATTGTGTAAACAGCCTCAGATGGTTCCAGCCCAAAACAAAATAAGCCTGCTGATGCATAACAGCAGATCCATCGGGAACACAAGTCTTAGCTACATCCACAAGAGTTGCCACTCAGCGGCAGATCAATTGGATTTGTTTTTTATTTTTTATTTCAAATGGTAATATTCATGAAAATCAGACGATGTTTTATGGAAAACAGAGTGGAAGTTTCAGTCGTCGTTACACAGCTGGATGCTTTACTTATCCGTTGTGTGCTCAATTTCTCATTGAAAATCACTCTGTGTGCATTTGAAGTGAGTTTAGAATTACATACACTGCACTACTGAATATGAACTACTGCTCTTGACAAAATAAAAAGACTCAAATTACGAGCGTGTCACTTCTCATTTGGTTTCGTTTTCACTAATTCATTTATCTCCTCATTCTACAGACGCCTCCTGGACTTATTTGGAAGAAGAGCAGACTCTCTCTGCATGGGTTCACTTTATCAAATAAACACAAAATTACTTGCCGAGATTAAAAGACTCCTTTTGTAGACATCAACAGTCTCTCATTCACACTGTTAAGAACCAGACACCTTATACACGAAGCAGATCCTGACACTGGCTAACAAATGAACTTTGATGAACGTGGCTCTCAACTTGGTGGACGTGAGCTGCACTGAGAAACACTCGTCCATCCGATGGTCCAAAACTGAGAGAAACAGCAAATGCTCATATTTCAGAAGCTAGAACGAGTGAATATTTGTTATTTTTGCTTGATTAAAAGCTTGAATGATTAATCGATTATCTTAATTCTTTTAGATTTCTTTTGAGTTGATCAGATAATTCATGACAGCACTACTATTGTTACAAGCAAAATCCACCACTCCATATGAAGAGTAGCTGCACTTGAAATATAAAATCCGTCTATGTCACATGTCTATGTTCAACCAGATTTAGAAGTAAGCCAATTACACCCCCCAAAACCAGAGGAATCATCGCTCAAAGTAGCTTTACCAGCATTTTAGGGTGTTTCTTTTTGCTTTTAACTGAATTCACAGTGATGATGAAATGTCGAGACACCTTTGGGTTTTGCATCACTGCAGCTTTTCACAGAAATTCAGCTCCTGAGCTCTCCGGGTGTCTCCTTGAGCAACAGTGCCTCTGTTTGGCAGCACCGATGTATCAATCTGTACAAAAGTCTGCTCAAGTAAGGTGTGGAGGAAAAGCTGAACATCATATGAGTCTACGGCAGACAATAAAGACTGGAATACTGCAGAGACATCATGTCTCTTCTTGGGTTAGGGTTAGAGGCTGAAATCACAGAAACATACATCTGAAAACCTGGACAAATACAACCCAAACTATCCACATGGCTAGATACCACCAGAGGTACAATACTAGAGAAGATATAATGAGTTCTCCTTCCTTTTGTCATCTCACTTCTTACCATTAAGTGGCCGGTGGCAGGGTCAGCTGTCATGGCCTCGTTCTGGAAAGTGTTGGCCTGAACTAGCTCCTCCTCCTCCCTCCGGTTCTTCTCCCCTGTGTCGTCATCGTCCAGCTCATCCAGGCTCTGCGAGAAAAAGAAGAGGATGGTGGATGAAGAAAGGAAAAGAGACTAAATTCTTAGATCAGCCTTGGGTGGAGCGAGTATAGTCACAGAGCAAATTTGCAACATGTCAGCTGTGGTTTACACATTTCACCAATCAAAATAAATGCTATACTTGCAACCCATTTATAATTCATGTGAGAGGCCTGTAAGACTCAATTTGTCAGCAATCATTTGTGAAACAGGCCCAAGGTTACGCTAAAACCTATACTTACATGCAGCTTGTCAGTAATTGAATTTCTTTACAATCCGCGCCATATTTTTTAACCTTGGCTTCATCATTTTAAGTGTATGTGTAAAATATTTATTAGTTGTTAGATTTTATTTTAATGTCCGGCTGTGAGTATTGATGTTCCCTTTCATCTCACCATAATCTAACACAATCCTGCCTCAGCTATACCTTCCTAGTTTTAAGTGCTGTCATGCACACAGACTCTTGTAAAAAAAAAAAAAAAAAATCCTGAAAACAAATTAGAAATCAGCCTTCTCCAACAGAAACCTTGCTGTGCTAATCAAGTTTCTCTAACGTCTTCTTCTGATTTTAAGAAATTGAATTTCTTGTTTACACAAAGTAAAGAAATCGGGGCCCTGCAGCAAGCCGACAGTAATTCCGTCCCTTCTGTGCACGTTAATACACAGCACTGACAGATGCGCAGGGACAGGCGAGGTCATTCCCACCATAACAGCGATGGTGACCTCTGGCAGAACACAGCCAGGGTCTCCTCTTAATCCTCTTAAGACATGATCACATTCACTTCCAGGAATCCCTGAGGAGCCGCAGCTCAAACACGACCAAACACTAGATGGACTCTAGTCAGGCAACAGGAAGACGGCCTGTTTGAGGGCCTTTCACCTCCTGGGGACGGTCATGAGGGGATTTTTGACCAGTGGAATGTCCCTTGAAAACACAATAAAAGACATGTACAAACATACACAGAGCAAACATCCCTTTGACAGAGGAGCGGGGAGTTTTCATTATTTAAACAGAGATTTTGCACATGTCCTGGGAAAACCTCCAACTTTTACTCCTTGCAATCTTAGCTTTATCATGAAATATGTGCACAGCCCTTAGCTTCTTATTTGCATTACTTTACAGTGATCCGTGCGGTGGAGTTACTGGGTTCATCTGTCAGGAGCGGTGAAGATGCATTGCGTAAACAGAGCTCAACATTAGGATGGATGGTCGGATCATGACGAGAGACAGAGATCGTTGCCAAACTCCCAGAGGGTCACCATGCAAACCAGTCTTTCCTGTTTCACGCTGCAGGGCGAACAAAAGGTGCCCACTCAACAGGCTCTTTAGTGGTAAAAATAGCCTTACAAGGTTAACAAGGAATGCAGTCATTTGCAAGGCCTTTCCTGCCAAACGGTTTATCAGTTGTCCTTAGGGAAAACGCCAGCCACTTTTCTTTTTGACTCTCGCTCTGAATCTAAAGCTACTGCTCTCCTGCTTCTCCTGATGTAACTCAATGCTCACCATTCCTCTCTCATCTCTAGCATGCACGAACACAGGAGTGGACACAATATCGGGAACAAGCTAGCCATATATTGTTAATGCCAGAGAGGTTTTGATTTCCATAGTGCGTGGTGTTCTTGCATCAGATTTTGTACTTCTATCTATCTATGTACATACCAGCACAAGCCTACACACGCTTTCTTGCAGCAATTTATAGTTGCCAACTTGTCAGGGCACTTTTACAAGATTAAGACCAATATGTGGGGAATAAAGGGCAGAGGTTTCGGAGTTGAGGAAAATGAAATTAAACAGAAGTTCGTCTGTGTCAACACAGTGAATTGTGCAGTGACTAACCACTCTGCTATGCACAAAGATGACTGAAATGTGGAATTGGGAATCTCAAAGTTTATTTTGGATCGAGTTGCAGCCCGTTTTGCCCTCTAGTATTCCAAATTGCTGTGCATTTCTTCAATTCCAAATAAAGGGAAAAAGGACAATCTGTGTGCAACCATATAAGGGATGTTTTTGCTCCTGACATCATTTTTCTGGCCAATTTCTTACCCTGAACCATGGAACCAAACAGAGAAGGTGTGGAGGGATGAATGAGTGATGCTTCGACTGCTGTTTTGTGCTATGTGTTCACATTACAAAGGGTTACTAAACATAGGATCTTCTTTTTTTTTTTTAACACAAATACTGTCAAAGATACAAAGCACTGTTATCTAATATCATTATTAGTGGTTCAAGATTTGGCATCATTCTCCTAAAGTTTGTAAATGAAAGTACAGTTCATACTGATTGCACATATTAGCTGACAGATTATTTACATATTCTGACTGAACACATTGTTTTATTGAAACATAAGATGTTATCTAGTGTTTATTTAATATTTATAGGGATATTTTGCACCATGGAGATAAAGATGGTTCATCTGGATCACACTTTCAGCCAAGTATCACATCTGCTTTTTCCCCTCCAAAATGGTAATTATAAAGTCTTGTAATCTCAAACTTAACTTAAATTTTGATTACTTGGATGCATGCTACCCAGGTGCAACTGAATATTCATGACGGAAGCACATTTTATACGACACCAGGACTTTCAGGGTAATTAAAAAATATACGAAACACTTCAATACTGCTAAATTACATGATTATTTATCCTGGAAATAAAGTCAATATACAATCATCTATCATTAACTGCTCCCTAATGACGCATATTTTAGGGAAATATTGCAAAACGCAGCTGAAAAGTCGATACACATAACTTGACCAACATTGATTCCTGTGATGATGACACATGGCAAGTCAAAGAGAATATGAGTGTGAGCTGAAAAGAAGCAGCCAGATTTCCAGAATCTGTCTCTGCATCCTGTTTACAGCCGGACCAAGTGTCAGGGCCCCACAGGAGTGTTTACTTTAGTGAAGCAAGTAAAACACATATCCTGGCCTATTCCTGCCTCAATACCCATGTCCGTCACTCTGCACACGGAGAATTAAAGAAGCTACATCTGGAGCAGAGCTTCACGGTCTATTGGAATGTCTGTTGTGGTTGGAAACTCTCTCTTTGGGGAGGAAAATGATCATCTATTCTAAACCTCTGCCCCTGGCTGCAAATATCTGAATGCATCTGATTCTTTGTCTGCACAACAGCAGGCACTGTGCTTTAGTTCCCTACTCTGCATTTGCCTTTTCAGTGAGTGCCGAAGTGATGCTGTTGAATGGTTAATTTGAGTGAACTGAGTACATTGTGTGGCAGCCGACCTGCAGCATTACACTGATGTATATAAAAAAGGCCAAGAAATGACGGGCTGCCGAAAGCTGAAGTCGTGTAACTGTTCGGCAGCAAGTAGACTCAGACAGGGGTGAGATATAGTGGTTATAGATTTTTGAAAGTGGGGTAAATGCAGTCATTTATGCGAAAGTAAAAGGTGATATTTTCATGATAAAAAAGCTCTGACAAGGTAAATAGAGTACATAAAGTTCTTGATAGCAATGAAGGCAGACGTCATTTTAAAAAAAGAGATAAGGGTCTTACATAATAAACATATATCTTAAACACAAGTCTTTCTTGGGCTTTTCTTGTCCCTAAACATAATTTATTTTATTATATCCTTTCTTTAATTTTAACGCGTGCAAATAAATAAAAACTCAAAGTGAAACTGGCTGTGCATTTTCCCTCTTACTGTGTGCCATGCAAACTTAGAAAAGACTGATTGTTTAACAGAAGATAATTTTTCAAAATGGCTTCAAGTCTACACAAAAAGCCGTTCACCAACACAATAGAGGGAGTTATAGCTACTGCGGCATCCATGGCAACCACTGTTGCAGCAATGCAAACATACACAGTCAGTGAGATTACCATTAGGCCTCTAACCGGCAATCAAAAGATGTTCTGTATAATCTTAGAGTACTTACTGAAAACATAACATCTATTCACAACATTTCTATCCTGGGTTCATTACTAAATAAGAAGTTTCATATTTTGGCACTGTCTCTTCCAAATTTTGATTTGATAAGAAAAAATCAAATAAAAAATAATTTTATTGACTCCAGTGCCATGTTTTAGCATTACTAATAATAGCAATAAATGAACATACATTATAATGGCAGCAGATTATCTTTGGTACATATATGATAAACCCCCCATAAAACATACCATAAGTCAAATTAAGGCAGGTAAATATGTATATCATGATAAATTGTCACAATAACAATAAGAATATTTACTTTTTACAAATTTTTATATACCAGTATATCCTACTTAGCGCTAACTTACTGGATTCAATAGAGCCTGACCAGTTAAGGATAGCAGACTGGAAACTTTAGGCTGGTTGGTTGAATGACATTGGTACCCGGTTTAATTATATGGAATCTTCCACTGCAATGAGAGCACATTTAAGGCTGCTAAGAGATTCACAATGTCAGTAATTTGCTGAATTTGGTTTATTGTCCAGCCAAAACCCAAATACTCCTTCTTCTTCTCAGAGAACCTAGTTAAGATCCAAAATGAACACCCATGCAGCCTTGTCACCCCGCCAGTGCCCTGTCCACTTAGTCCTCAGATTTATCTCTAAACAAGCAAAGGGCACCTCCACCGAGGGCACACTCTTATACAGCAGGCTTAATGACCTGTGTGTATTAATCACCTGCCACTCGCCGCAGCACAGTGACTTCATTAAGATGATCTATTAGAGAAGAGGGACGCTGGCACACTGATGCCCAATGTCTTTTAATCAGGACTGCCAGTCAGCTCAGACAACACTACAGACGGGCACAGCGCTGCGCTCAGGTATGGCAGAGATCAGAGTGAGGACATCCACCCCGGAGCTGCTGGTTGATTAATGTGACACTACAGACTGCCAAGGTCAGTGTTAGGTCCAGGAGAGGTACGCCAACTTTGAGCAGGAGTGAGACATCATTTGACAGCCTCAAAAAGGTGTGACTGGACCTTCACTGATCTGTGCCGAAAATATTCCATTTAATCCTGTAAAGAAACATTTTTTGTC